CCACCTACTGTCGACCACGGCGCTGCGCCATAAATGGGTCTTGTTAATTTCAATGGCATATCAATTTTCCCACTGCCGTGCACTGGCCCTATAGTGCCTACATTCTAGGCCTGTTACAGCGCTGTTTTCACGTGCATCTACTGCGAGGCCGTCGCACTTCTACTTCGATAACAGAATCATCGAAATCACGGCGTATCTCGAGCGGTGGGCCATATGGTTATCAGTTCGCGCGGGGAGTTGCGACTGATAGCAGTTATACTGATACGCTGCTCCCGAGACACGCCACCCGCACAGGGCAGTGGCTGTCAAGTAGCGCGTCGCACTTATAGATAAAGAGACAGGAAAAGATTTCTGCCCAGAGTGAAAATATGCAGAGGGATGCGTTTTGGACACAGCGCTGCTTTCGATAAGAGCTAAGGTAGCGGAAATGTCGCGAAGAGACTGCTGATCCATTAGGGAGTTTTAGAATAGCGCACCGCGAGCCCTTTTGGTGCGGTCGCTGCCACTGCGCATGCGTCGTAACGCGAGTGCGCGTTCGCGGACCGCACGCAGAAAATCCAAAATTGCGTGCGGTGATGGCGGCCCACATGTGGCCCGCAAGCGCTGGTTTCGAGAGTATACGATGTCGCTGTGATCTTGCATTGCGGTTCGCAGCAGGGCAAACGCTATTCTAAATCTCATATGGCGGCCGCTACGCCCGCAACGCCCACAACGCTTGGAAACGGTATTCTAAAACTCCGTATTAACTCACGTGTTCGTAAACCTTCGCGGTCGTCCTTGTACGAAAGCGCTCACCTAAATCACTATATCTAGCTAACAATTTTATTCTTAATGCAGATAAAAAAAAATATCAGAAGTGTCGAACGGCGGGCTTCGTGTTACAACTTTATGACACACGTTCTGGCCAGCAAATGTTCAGTTACGCTTTAAAAAAATGATGATACCATTACAATTCGTAGCTAGCCCTTTAAATTGATGGGAGTGCTCCTTCTTCGGCTAACCGAGTCTGTCCTTGTAAGTTGTGCAAACAGTGTGCTTTCATGCGAAAAATTGAGAAAGATAGGTGTATATCTGGCAGGAATGAGAAATAAGAAGGAATCAAATAGCTGACCAATAAACTTACCACCATGCAAAAAAAAAAGAAAAAAAAAACAGAAAAAGTGCACGACATTATAAATACGAAAGTCAGCGCTTACGTGAAAAGAAAGACAGCAGTTCCATGTCAAAAGCCGTAGTTGACTTTAGACGTACGACAACACCATACACTGTCCCGCACACTTGTACGCCGCGCCGCGATGACAGGGGTTCGTTTGAAGCGCCAGCTGCCGGTGGTCGTTGTGGTTAGAAGAAGAAGGCGCCTAAGAATAATGGGGTTGACTCCGTACACCTCACGCACCTCAGTCGAGTAATTTACTATACACGCAGTATACGCTCAGTAAAACCAGCTATACACCGTTCATCGCACCTTCTCTCGAGCGACCTCTGCCGTGCAGCGAAGGTGGAGTGAAACGCACAAGACGAAATACTGATCTTGCGCGCGCCCTAGCACTTGCGACAAACTGCGTTCTAGCAATGGGGACCGCTGCGCAACCGCCAACAACGAATGAAAAACAGCGGTTTGAAGAAATTCCCAACAAAGGACCGCACGGCCGCAGTTCCCTTCTTCCCGGCGCTCTTTTCCGCGTTGCACTTACTTATTGTTCTTCGCACGGCCGCCCCATTATGTTCCGGTTACTCGGTTACGCATTCTCAAGAAAGTAGTCGTTTATCGTTACGCGCACGTGCATGTTTTACTATGCTCCTTGTTCGCCGCAACTTGCACTTTCTCTGCGCTGGCACAAGAACAAGCGCTTGCGGCTGGCAGCGTTATTGATGAGGCTCTCGGTGCTACGAGTAAACTCTGTGCAATTGTTTTGCAACGGCCGTGTAGCGTACGCACCTGCGTCACCCTTATGCACAATCGTTTCGAACTATACGCCATTCGTGGAGCGGCAAAGCCGACGAGGGCTCTGCGTCGCAAACGAATCTTTGAGCGTGCACTATATACAAACATTTTATATATGGCGTGTGAGCGTCTTGATCTCCCATCCATCAGCTTTGCGATGATTGACTGTGAACCGGGAGCTGCGTTTTCGGTTAAAATGACGACTAAATGTTCCCGGCATTAAAAAAAAAATCTGGCTTCAAACTGAACGCAAGCCGTGAACAGGTCTGCGTTTAGAAGTGATGCGGACACTGTGTGCACGAGCCTCGCTCGATTATCGTAGCCGAAAAAGAATACCGACAACGCATCGACTTTATCAGCAACAACTTTAGCATCGCCTCAGTGCTTCGCGAGAGCTGTTATACAATCGGCATCTCCTCGACGCCAGCAGAAAAGCGTTGTACTACACTTTTTCTGCCAGTTATCCTCAAGCATAGCTTGTAGCAACGTCTCCACTGGGCCATTCGCAAACGCACTCAGATGGTCCGTATAGGACGCCCGATGTCCACATAAGAAAATATGTGTACGCGCAGCGGGAGCTTTCGTGTATCAAGACAGCGGGGGTAGATTATTGGACGCCGCTGGATCGGTCCTGCTAATGGTCAGTGGATCTTGCACGACGCACCCAGCGTGAATTTGCGTGCAATATAAGCAAATACTGGGCACTTTCCGCGCTCCAGTGGAATCTCGCGCTCGTCAGGCATAATAATATATATGAGCAGTGTATATATGCCACTAATATAATGTGTTTGTGTACTTACTGAGGTTGAGTTAAGGCATATAATGTGTTTGTGTACTTACTGAGGTTGAGTTAAGGCATAGATCACGGACGGCAGAGAGTAAAACGGAGGGTCTACAAAGAGTTTGGGACACTCCTAACCAGAAAACCGGCTGCAGATGAGAAGAATGCAAGCACAGCACAAATACAAACTAAAGCAATGGGGCCGTATTGCTTGGGCTAATGCTTTCTATATTTAAAAGGGGATCTCCGGCATCTTTTCGATATTCACCGAATTCAATAAAACTTCGAACACTTGTTCTCGTTGGTACCATGGTGATATGTGCCAAATTATATAACCCTAAGTCAGGTAGTTTCTTAGAAAACAAGTTTTGAAATTGGTAGCAGATTTTGGAATCACAGTATAGGAAACGCGGGCCTCTCTGTGTAAGTGACGTAAGTGCCTACACTTTTTTTAAAAAACCCGCCTTTCTCAGCAGACGGATGCAGCGCGCGCTTTCTTCTACGAGGCGACGACGATGCGAGCACAGTTCAGTTTTGTCAGCTGCAAACAGCGTGTGAGTCGCCGTTGACGTCGGGTCTTACAACATCGATTCGGGGCACGTCAGGTGCTTCACGTGCCGGCTGGTCGAAATAAAAAAGCGATGCTTCCGCGCTCAGCCGCAGTCATTGCTGAACTTGACACTGGTAAATTCAGACGAGACGGTACAGCTTGATTCCGCGTCGGATGGCATAGCCAATTTCCTTTAAGCGCGTCAGAAAGCGGCACATGTTCTGTGTTTACATCCTCGCTAGCCGGTGGCGGGGTGAGGCGGATCTCGTGACGTCATCGGAGACGGATGTTTGTGACGTAATCCGATACCCACAATGGAGGACGCGTGGAGCATCTCCCTGTTTCGGTTTCTGTTCTGACTTATCGTTCATTGCTCAATTAAAATTATTGACGAGTGTCTGGGCATAATGAACCTCCCTAGCTGTTGCAGGACTGTCAATACTATTTGAAAACAGCGTTATTTCAGTATTGTCGAAAATGCACTGGAGTTCCCGTTTCACTCACAGGTTAACGGTCCAACCTTCACCGATGCAGTGCCGCTAACAGTGCATGTGCGGGTCCGGCAGCACCACGCATAAGCGATTGATGAGACGCAGTATCGGTGACAGTAACACTACGATAAAAGAAAAATAAGTTCGAGGCGCCCTATCAATAATCATTGAGAACATACCATCGAAAAAAGACGTGCCCAAGTCTCAGTCTCTCAGTAGGCATCTATGGAGAAGGTCGAAACGAATAAACGCACACACGTACGCAAGTGCTCGTGCAAGCGACAGCAGGCGGAAATGCGCGAGCAAAACTGGCATCCTCACAACCTCCAACACAACTCTTTCGCCAGTCACAACCGCTTTACTAAAAGGACACCAAAGAGGAACAATGAATCGGTTGCGGTTTAGATTAATAAATTGTGTTTTAAGAACGCTAGTGCCATTAATGCCACAATAATATATTTATCAAACAGAGGAAAGTTGAGGGCAGTTTCTCTTAAATTTCGCGCCGAAGTCGCAGCCCGAGACATCAGGAATTTCAAGGGCACTTCTCATATTTTGGCCACGTTGACTGAACGGAAGCTCCTTAGTTTGTTAAGTCTATGGACTCTCAGAGAACAATTGTATATAATTTTTACTGGTTAGGAATTACGCGGAGACCTGGTAGATGTTGCCAAAACACATGACGTCACGACGTTTGTTGCGGGGAGTTAGGGAGCGGCGTCGCCACGCGCACCTTGTGCGTTTGCTCGCTTACCAAGTCGGGGTAAGCGTGGTGATATCGGAAGTGCCGAAGAGTAATTTACTAATACGAGTGAAATAATTTTGCTCTCTGGTGTACCTTTAGCACCATTACAGCCCACATGCACGCATGTAATACAAATGACGAGAGGAACCGTGCATTCTCTTAGGCCTCAGGCATTTCATCGAGTACATTGCTCAGACTTAAGCGTATGGAACAGGGCTACTTTGCATTTGGTAAGGCTAGCACAGTCACAAACTGCAGCGCAGATCTAGCCCTGCTCTCGGGAAGTTCTTCCAAGCGGCGGTGTTGGGGGGTGCAATGTTGCCTCGCACATGCATGCAGAAAGGAGCCATGGCTGGTCGCCGCCCACCAGCAGTGGCAGCTGGCGCCTCGGCAGACGTCGGGACCCGCGTCTCTGACATGGTGCCCCGACGCGCGAGGGGGAGAGGCCGGCGAAGCGTGCAAAGGAGACGCGGAGGGGGTGCTCTCACCGGGCTCACCGTTGGGCAGGGCTCTCACGAGATCCACGCTCATGGCACAAGAGGAGCACGCTGTCCACACCAGAAGGCCACGGGTTCGCGTGCCTGTTGGGGCCGCATGCGGGCCCTGCGCGTCGAATCCGAGCAGCGGTGCCGCAGCTGCAGCAACAGAACGGGGGGCGCCACACCAGCGCAGAGCCGACAACCTCCGTCGTCCCAATACGACTGCGCGCGCGCTCCTCCTTTCACGACGGCGCAGCTGGAGAAAGTGCGTCCGCCGGAGGCTCTGGAAGAAGAAAGGGGCTCTTGGCAAAGCGGCGGCCCAGTTGTGTGTGTCCCGGGGCCCGCGTGGGGGCTCCTCCTCCCTGCCGGTGGAAGGAAACTTGCTTGGGGGCTTCCCCCTCGCCGGCTCTTCCGTAACGCCTACTCAGGAATGCACGCGATGGGGAAGAAGGAGAGGCGTACAACCGACGCTGCCACACCGCTCTCGCTACACATACCTGAGCCGCGCGCAGGACCCCAAAGCTGCGTGTGCACAGGTGCCGGCCGAGGTCGCCGCACTTGCGGGAATGCAAACGAAATATGTCACCGTCGCTGACGTCAAACGTCAGGAGCCGGAATCGCCCTGCACGTCGGATGCGGGGAGACCGCGAACCACACAAATGCGGCTGGTCTGCACTCACGTGCATTCCAGGCGCGCACGTGGACAACCTGCGCCGTTGCGCAAGGACGCGGACGGGAGGCCGCTCGTTTTGGACGGGTGGGGGGTGTGCGCTCGCTCCAAGGGCGCACGACTCCATAGACTCGGTGACCCGAAATGCGGCTCCGGCCCGACGCCAGATGGTTGAATGCATCGCCGCCGCCGGCGATGTAAACAAGCCACGAGAGTGAAATTGTGAGGGCAGAGAGAGAAGCGCCACCTTGCAGCTTCTCGAGATCCACATCTAGGAATCTTCACAGGCACTAGTCGCCACCGAATCGGCTGGCTTTTCTCCCCGAAGAGTCCTGTCTTCAATGCTCAGCCGCGATGACTCATATTGTGCTCGCTATCACGAGTGTCAGCCTCCTCTTACTATATGAACTTGACCACACAATCTGTTTTGCGAATATGGGCTCGCGTTTGTATAAGGTCGTTCGTAAGAGGGGTTTTAGAATGATTGAGAGGCAGAACACGATTGGAGACGATGACAGTTCAGTAAGTTCCACTTAACCCGAAGAAAACTAGCCGCTGATGCAGACACTAAGACTGTTTACATTGGTGCTAAAGAGACAATGAAAGTATTAATAGAACTCAATAAAGTGGGCGTCTAAATGAGCATCTATCCTGTCAAGTGCTTCCTTCCTTCTACCTTGTGCGCTCATATATTTACACATTATGAATATAGATTCGTGATTATGAAATTCGTAGGTGAGCTTTCTATTATGGCAAGCTCAGGGACGACGCCAGCCGTCAATGAATGGAGAACACAGCGTGTGGCGATGTGGCCACGGCATGAATTTCAATTAGTGCGTCACCGTAATCCCATACCGGGCCAATATAATGCATCGCCTATGAATGATGCTTCTATATTCCCATAAATACGATTACGAGTTAGAACAACCAACATCGCTAAGGCCAGTTTTTCAACAAGGAGAGCTGTTTTCGCAGAGCCAAAAGGAAGAAAATAGTCTTCGTCATAACATCCAATACGGAAATTTACCTCGCTTTACACAACCAAAATCACATTTCTTTAGGGACTGCAACGAAGCGCACAGGAATCTAGCAGATCGTTTTCTGAACCGAAAGTTCTTCGTCTCTGGAGATATCGTTCGATTAACCGGGAGCTTATTCATGCGTTGCTACTGCTCTTGAGAACAAGCAGCATCAGTGACCGATCTCAGTCCTTATGTGTGCGCGAAATGTCCGCTCCCCACCTTGTTTTTTTTTTCTGCGAACTTGATGCTCGTCTGGTTCAGATTTTTGTGTCTTTCATATCCTTGCTCTCTCTCTCTCTCTCTCAATTGTTTTCAATCCAGTCGACAGCAGCGAGAGCTGCGTGAGAGGTGTTCTGTGGACATAACGGCAAAGTAAAGCGTCAGTTATGTGAGCGGGGGCTGGCCATCTGTAAAGTTATTTCCGCCTCCTTGCACCCGCGCGTCCTGCGGGTCGCCTTCCCCGTGGTACATGGATGAAGGAATAAACTTTTAGCTTCCTTCCTCTATGCTGTGGGACGATAATGGCGGCATAGTTAACGTAGTCTCCGCCGTGCGAGCGATTGCGCTGTGTTCCCGCGGTGGCACCGCCTTGGCTGCGAGGTTACGCGGGCCCACGAGGAACAACGCTGAATCTTCGTGGCTGGGCTTTTCTCACCGCGGTTACAGAACACTGTACTACGGTCGCTTTTCGTTGGGAGGTCTGCGGGGGCGATTCGCGGCTCGTTCCCGCGGACTGCCAGCGTCAGTCGAGACTCGAGCGTCGGTGACACCTCGCCCCGCCGCGGTGATCTAGTGGCTAAGGTACTCGGCTGCTGATCCGCAGGGCGCGGGTTCGAATCCCGGCTGCGGCGGCTGCATTTCCGGTGGAGGCGGAAATGTTGTAGGCCCGTGTGCTCAGATTTGGGTGCACGTTAAAGAACCCCAGGTGGTCTAAATTTCCGGAGCCCTCCACTACGGCGTCTCTCATAATCATATGGTGGTTTTGGGACGTTAAACCCCACATATCAATCAATCGGTGACACCTCATTTGTGTTTTGCTGTTCAATGCGAATCATTTATTCCTTTGCGTACCAAAGGCACTTTGGCTCGCCCCGTCCACCCGTCCGTCCAATCAATTAATCAATCAATCAATCAATCAATCAATCAATCAATCAATCCGTGAATCAATTCATCCATCCACATCAATCAATCTGTGAATCAATCCACCCATCCACATCAATCAATCGATTCGTTCATCCGCCCGTTCATACGTCCGTCCGTCCGTCCGTCCGTCCGTCCGTCCGTCCATCCATCCATCCATCCATCCATCCATCCATCCATCCATCCATCGATCCATTTTTGTGCCACCCCCGCTTCACAAAAAGTGTCGTGAAGAATCTGCTCGCTGTGCTGTTTCTGCAGGAAAATATCCATCCATGGTAGTGGGTTCGTTGTGCCCCGTCTCATGCAGCTGCTAATCGGATCGCACTTTTGTGGAGTTGGCATGTTTCAACTTGGGAGCGATGACCTTGCCAGTGTCTCGTAGCCGACTGTGCCACGAATATACAGTCGAGCGGATACCCGCTATGCTTGCAAAAACACTTTCTCCCGTACCGGTAAAACTTCTCGAAGTGGCGTAAACACTTTTCTCGTTGTTTGGCCAGCCGTTCACGGATGCACAGTGGGTCGGCTGCTGAATTCCATCGCGAGCCGCTTCCTCGTTTTGCCTTTTCTATGAAGGCACACGGCGTCCGTCATGTTACTTGTTCATAAAACTCATCAGGATGTAGCCACTTCGTCGGTGAAGTTATCTTCAGTGCACCGTTCCTCAATCAATGCAACTTCGTAAAAAAAAAAGCTGTAAAACGCCTGAAACTATCAAATAAATCAAGTGAAATTTCAAAAAAGTGAAAGAAAACAGCAAACGCTGAATCGAGCATGACACCACCACCGAACACAGCAAAAAGTACAATGACAAGCAAAAACATACAAGAGTCGAAATAACAAAAGTGACCTGCATCCACGGGAGTTGCAGAAAAGTGTCCAGACGAAAAACGTGTATTTTACCAAAAGCTGCAGTGCCTAAACAAACATTGCTACTGTTTATGTTTGGTTGCTTCTGTGCATACTGCTGTTGGTTTTCTTGCAGTAAAGCTAATTTATTGCAGCTCGAAGTAATGATTTCGTAGCGAAAATTTACCTACCCTCGCATTCAGAGGCTATACTTGACGAGTTAAGGGCGCTTTTCATAAGGCGCCCTTTATGACAGAACAGGGGAAGTTTCTGAGATGTACCTTGTACTTTTCTTATACTTTTCTCGTCCTTTCATAAGTAGCCTTACCGCCATAAGTTAGGCTGAAATCATGAATACGGCGGTTAATGCGATAGCCTTTAGGAGCCTGTGTTGCAGAAAAATCGGTGCCGGCATTTCCGGCGTTATGGATGAGCCGAAAATCCTGACGGACAGTTAAGATAAAAAGCACTATTCGAGCTGGAATCGAGCCTATATATATTCTACCTGACATGGCAAGTATTTTCAAAGAGTTACGCTACGCCCGTGCTTTAAGTTACTTTAGAAAAACGCAGCTGTGTCAACACCCGATGCGGTTCAAGAGTATACAACGAGGTAACGAACATTTTCTATACACCCTTGTCTGTCAGCAAGACGCAGTAAACGTCGCTCGAGACTGTATATGAATACTTCAACGCTCATGCTGAGCAGATCATCGCACCATAGCGTTCTGCTCGTTAAATTAAACTGACTCATCTGCTCTGAGCGAGTGCCGACGCTCTATAGGACTACCCTAATTGCTGCAATAAAAGTAGTACTTCATAAACAAGTGTTGCACACGTTCCTCTAAAACAGTACCAAAAGCTCGTTCTTCGTTCCTTCGCAATACTGGGACGAGTTCCCATTACAAATTCGTTAAGTGAAAAAGGAAGTCGTTTCAGTGACATTTCCAACACTGGAACGTGTTGTTACATGAAGGTTACATTTGACGTTTCAATAAATGTAGTGGCGAATAATCATGAGGTGAAATAAGGCAATAAAATTAAATCTCACATCGAGCTAGATGCATCACATAGGAATTTAATATCGCCGACATCAGGGTACACGTAGGTAAAATTTATCTAAATAAACACTCTTAATTAGACGAATTTTGCTGAGACCGCCAGCCCTACTACAGACATGCCTAACAGCAACACTCGCCTTCGTCTATTTCAAGTTCAACACATGTGGCACTTTCTACGTCGGTCTTCAAATAGGGAGTCGGAATATACAATGCACTTCAGATATTTGAATACACATCTACACCAATGTACCAATGTAATTCAATTTCTTGCACTGAGAACCGGATTGAAAGGGATAATACTTGGGCATTTAATGAGTAGTGGTTGAATATTTCAGTGTGAGTTGAAAGTATAATATCTAGGATACACGCCTGAAACCTATAATTAAGTCCACTGTTTGCAGTCAGCTAACATATTTTTGTATATTTTGTTTTCTGTCTATCTATGCCTCTCTTCGTTCTCATTCTCTCTATTTTACTCTTTCTCATTGCTATATATATATATATATATATATATATATATATATATATATATATATATATATATATA